TTATGTTTGAAAGGATTGGTGCTGGAAGGACAAGGCTGGAGACAAGGAACAGAAGGCCTGGAGCCAGGTGTTCAGAGCAGACTGTTTGTCCTGCTTCAAATCACTGGACAACCTTCAGACTCTGAGCCAACTGCTACTTGGCACCCCTGGGTTCAACAAAGTGCAGCAGAGTTCTCTTCCAAGGACTTTTTAAAAACATTAACGTGCATTGCACATCTCTAATGTGGTAGTAATAACCACCAAACATTTATATTTATATTTAGTAGCAACCCTTCTTCCATTACTAGTGAGGCATGAACTTGGGAAGTGCTGTTGTAACTTGATTCACTCACAGAGACTTCACTCACTCACTGAGCATCTACAATGTGCCAGGCACCGTGCTAGGTATTCATGAGACGACAGCAGGGAGCTGTTTTCTGGGAGCTCTTTAAAGGCATCCCATGAAGAGTGAGAACAGTATTGTGTTGGAATCCTTTAGCTGGGCAAGGGACTGGGCCTAGCAGGACTGGATTTAGGTAGTATTTTAGGAAACAGCTCACTCTCCTAAAATCTGTGCTTTTTGTTTTAGGCTGTCTTCTGTGTTCCCTTACTCTCTAATCTGGCAATTGCTAACTTGGAAATTAAGACCTATGCTCATATACCACACCTCTGCCATCCCTTCTTAAATCTTCCACCAGTTACTTACTACCCTTGAGCCTATTTCCTCACCATTTAATTGGGATGAGGATTACTGGTTGTTAAAACTGTAGAGAGTGACTCTAAGAATGGAGTCTTACATAGAATATGCTGGTGAGCTAGCAAAACCGATTAATAGAAATTCAGAAAGCATTTTGATAACTTTAGTATCCAGATGCTAAGAAGTCCAATCTTAGTGACTAACATTATATAAATAACCTTAAATTTTTAAAGTTCATTGTATGTTTGGAATGTAATACTTAAGGTAAGGCCCAGTCTGACCACAGGTGCTTATTAAACATATACAATTGTACAGTGGGGCAACACGATTTGGGCAACAAGTAGCTCCCACAGTGGCATCAGAGATACTGGCTTAGGGCAGAGCAGAACATTGACAAAAACTCTGGTTAAGGCATGGCAGGGAACTGTTAACACAGTTGTCTAGAAGCAAGATGTAAATTGAGTTTTCAAATCAAAGATTTCTATACGTCAAACTTTGAGATGTGTCCTAATGTTTTTTTTCTTTAGAAAGATATTTTGTTGGACATGCTGAAGACATTTGTATAGGATTGTTCACTGTTAACTTTATTTAGAGTGGAAAAGATTCAGAGGATTTTCTTTATACAGTCTAAGTCCTAAATATATATTTTATATAAAATTGGAAGAAATCAGTAATTTCATTTTCAGAGTAATTGAGGCACATCTGAAATTTGGAGTCAGCTGTGTGTGTGGCCATCCGTACAGCCCATGATTGACACACCAGAATGTCCCTAAGGGTCCCAACTGGAGTCCTTGCAAAAGACTACACTCTAAACAGCTGCCATACAGGAACTGCAGTCCAGACCCAAACTGAGGTTTCCCAAGTTTGACAGGCATTCTGTGAATCCATCTAATAAGAAATATTTTCGTCTTCTCCACAGAATGTGAATGGCATAAAATATCACGCTAAGAATGGTCACAGAACACAGATTCGTGTCCGCAAACCATTCAAATGTCGCTGTGGGAAGAGTTACAAGACAGCTCAGGGCCTGCGGCACCACACAATCAATTTCCATCCCCCGGTGTCGGCTGAGATCATCAGGAAGATGCAGCAATAACATGCTGGTCATAACTGTGCCAAGAAATCCTCACCAGCAGTTGCTGATTTTGAAAACAGCCACCTTTTTTCAGGGGAAGCATTCAGCAACCCTTTAAAGAAAAAGAATTAAATGCATGCTTTAAATTTTTTCTGTAATTTTGGAATGATGTATCTTTGTAGAGTTAATGATTTTGTACATTTGCACATGTAATCATCATACCCATTTTCATTACTTTGATATAAGGTGCTAAACAAAACAAGCTCTAGGTTCTTCAGCACATTTCCCCCAAAACAAAATAAAATTGAGGGCATGTTGCATATTGTAGAATTGTATTGCAGTGGTATCAACTAGGGGGAGGAGGGGCTGGCACTGAGATGTTTTTTCAAGATTGTAATGTGATTGAAGTTTTCAACACATCAACTCACATATGTTCAAAACCAAAATAATACCTTCATTATCAAACTGGTTACCATGCCTTACATAATGGAGTTAGTATTTGTGAGTAGAAAGACTTTAGGTAATGGAAATATAAATAAGAAAGAATGTTTAACATAATATGCTAAAAATATTTTCATATTTAAATAACATACATAAAAGGTGTGCTTTCTGTGTTTTATATTATCTTGCAAATCCTTTTGCCCTTTAAAAAGCTGAAAATCTTGCCATCTGACTTACTAGTCATTTTAGTGTTATAAATGGCATTTTGTACAAAATAGTCTATTCAGTTCATTCATTCATTTAATACACATTCATTGAGTGCCTGCTGGATACAAGGGATTCAATTTATGCCTATTGATATCTGCGGACCAAGATACCCACTTAGTGAAATACTTTTCCCTGAAATCTGTTAGGAAACACTTTGAAATACTTAAGTGCAAATTTTGTGTGTGTGAAATTTAGTTATATCTTCATCTTCAGATGAAGTTTTAAAGCACTTTGTAGTTCTCTATTGCCAACAATTTAATGTTTATGTGTTGCCAATTCTTGCAACCACTGCCCTACCAAACCTGTGGGTTGCAAATCAGAACTAAAATTCTAAGCACGTTTCAAAGAGGAACATTTTTGTTAAGACCCCTGTTGCCTCCTCTTCATACTCATTTTTGACTTATTTTTAAAAGGCACTTTTCTCATCACATTGTAGAGAGGTCTGCGTTCTCATTGGAAATGTCTGTTTAGCTTTATAAAACACTTTGCTGAAATATGAAAATGAGCCTTATTGACAATTAAGTGCTTCTTGCAGCAGGTGGTCAAAGAAAAGCGTGACTAATATGACCTGTTAGAGTAACCTACACCTGGACCATTCCTGAAGTTTTTCCTCACCGACAGTACCATCATGCCTTGAGTGTTCTTTTCTCCCAAGTGCTATTCCTTAAACATGAGAGTTTACCAGTTGCCTAATTATGCAATAAAAAATGCTTCAAGATAGCTAACTGCCCATAAAACAAACTCAGATTGCTTATTAAAAAGTTTCTTCCCATGTTCCCATTTGATGAAAAGTCTTACGTAACATATAGCTGGGAAGCAGGGGTCCCTCCTCAATTTTCAAACATTTTGAAAGGATGACAATTCTGTTAGCCAGATGAGTAAACCTCTGTATTCATTAAGTTCTGAATCTCTCATAATGAGGGATTTTAAAGTATTTATAAAGACATTGCCCTCTAAAAATTTCCTCAGATCTGAAGTATGGCCTTGGTCCTGCATATACAGTGTTATCCTATGTTTAAAAGGGTGATCCAGATATGAGACGCAACTAGTTGGTGCATAAGAAGGCCCCACTTGGCTATTTCATATCTACCTACAATCGACCAAAAAAAATTTTTTAGGCCAGCAATTATTATTTAGCTTCGCTCCTTCTAGTGCAAGAAACTGCAGGCTGGATCAGTAGTTCAACAGCTAAACAGTCATAAAATAGTCATTGTGCATGTTACATTTCTTTCAATGATAAATTCCAATTTCTATTTACTTATTCATTGTGACAGTATTACTAAACAGGTAAGGATGGGAATATTTTGTTATACTGTGTATAGTGAATGTATTGTACTGTGTCTGTGAAAACTGTGCTTTAAATTATATTTTCATATGTTTTGTTGGGGACAGAGCACATTAAGTCTGAAAGCAACAGAGGTTTGTTTTAGAACTGAAGGCAATTTAATCAAAATTCCTGTCAAGAAAAGCTGCTTATAAATGTAAATGAAATCACATTGAAAATAAACTGCCTCTGACCCAAAAATAAATATGGCTCTTTATTTCCCTTAGTGTCTATTATGAAAACCAGTATCAAGTTTACCATGGAAATTAATAAATATATCCATTCAGTTCCTCATTCTAAGGCTGTTCAGCTGATGCACGTAGACTTTATTCCCTTACATTTTTTGCTTAGATTAGCCTGTATTACTTTTCTATCAATAACAAGCTTGGATTTAAACTATTTTAAAATAAGTTCTAGGCCAGTAAGATCAACAGCGTCTACTACTGTAATATTCAAAGGATACTTTTGGATTAACATGGTCCATAATTATTAACTGCCACAAAAATGCTCCCATTGTTGAACATATTTTACCTAAGTACATTCTGCTCGTCATATAACCTGTCAGGAAGCTGAAACTTGGAGTCTCCAAAGCTATTGCTTCCTAGGACTGCTGTGTCCTAACAGCTGGCATACGAATGCCTAATACTGGTTTGCCCTCGACTCAAACTTTTTAAAGGATTCTAACAATATACAAACTCTGCTTCCACAAACAAATACAAGTGACATATGCTGCAGTTCACATATAGCAACCCAAAATGCCCCCAAGTCTAAATATTACGTTAACATCTTCAATAGCTTAGTTTGCTCAGAACAAATGTGAACTATTTTGATAACTACAAAAGCAGCAAAATCAAAACCTGGTACTTTAAATTATTCACATGCACATTATAAAAGGGAAAGGGAATACAGTTCAGAAGAATTTTAAAGGCCCAAACCAAAAAAAGATGTTCAAGATGCTAGATTAATGAAAAACTCACAAATAAATGTGACAACAATGAAATTACAGATCTTGGAAAATGTGTCCTCGTTCTTTAATGTTAGTGAGCGTTCTACACAGCAGAGACATAACTGAAGAAACACATTACTTTGATTTGGGTTGATGCATTGTACTTTTAATCACTTACTGAGAATATTTCAAATTTATATTCTCATCAGGAAAATGTAAAAAAGATACTGATATATATTCTGTGATTTTATGCCACAAACACCCCTGTTAGGAGATCATTTAATAGGAAAACAATATTGACATCTCTTGTTCCATTTTCCCATTAGATATATACATACAACTTTAAGATAGTTTAAAAATAATCATTCAGGTTATTCTAAAATTTTGTCATAAAATTAGCAAAATATGCCTTCTGTTAATTGCTAAAACCAACATTTCACATATAAAAAGCATGTGATCTCATTCTACATGCAGCTCCATTTCTGGAAATTAAAAACCTATCATTTCATGGGCTAAATTATAGAACTCTCTGTATTTGAAGAACTGCTTCACAAGACTGTTATGATAAATGCTTTTTATTACATAATATTTAGTAGTCATGCTCAATCAACAAGGTCAACAGAAACTTGTGAATATTCTGCTAAATAATGTAGCACACTAATACATACACATTTTTCAGTGCAGTAACATTGAAATAATCCTTGTATCCTTTATTCAGACAATTCTGCAAACTAGGGAATAAATAAAGATAAGAACACACAAGAACTTTGTTTTAAAGCAAGTAAGATTAACAGATTAAAATTTATTGATAAACGAAAGACTGACCCTGATCCTAGTAACACCGAACTCAAAGTAGCTCCTGGTCAGAAAGTGCAATAGAGGGTGCATGAAGGCGTCACTCTATGGTCTCCTCAGTGGTCTATTTTAGGTGATTTTTTTGTTTGTTTTTTTTTTTTTTTTACCGCTAAACTGTCTTAACTCATAATAAAAAGTAACTAGTCAAAATTTAGAACATTCTGATCAAAATGGGTCTGCACATGCCTTTCAAACACCTGCTGGTCATAGTCAGGAGGGAACTGCTCGCTGCACATCGGGCACACCTTCCAGTGACTTTCAACATGTTCTTCAAATTTGCTCTGATCGTAGTTGGGAGGAAACATTAACTCACAGAGGGGACACTTCTTGTGAACATCAAAGCTTAAAGAGAAAAATGAAAAAATTACATATTTCTAATAAATGTAGAACAGTAACTTGTCCGTATATGACAAGGTTCCATTTATCTAGTTAGCTGATATTCATACTAAACAACCTACCTTACAAGTCTTTACTCCAGAAACCTTTCTCTGCTTCTAAATGCTTGCTGTAGACAATTGTGTAACCCATTTATAGAGCCTCTAAATTTAGTTTTACAATTAGATTAACAAAACCTTTTTTTCCCCTTAAAACCTTCCAAATCCAATCACAATTTTGTGAAATTATTAGTACCAAGAATTCTTCCACGTTTAACAGAAAATGCCTTTTGTAAGACTGTAAGGATAATACAACGCATAACTTCCCACCAGTGCATTTGGTTTAATAGCTAAAAGTTTTTATGGCACTGGTTCTCAAATGATTGCACGCATCAGAATCAGTCGGAGGACACGTTAAAACACAGATTGCTGGGCCTATGCCCAGTGTTGGTGTTTCTGGTTCAGCTAGGCCAGGCCCTACATATGTGCATTTCTAATGAGTTCCCAAGGACCACCTTTGAGAACCACTGGCCTAAATTCACCCAAATTATACAAAGGAAAGAAAAATCTACCTGGAATCAAAGCAAAAGCCTGTCCCATGCCCACGTAAGTGTTGACTTGGAGGATCAGGAGCAGTAGGCACATTCTCATCTTCCTAGGGGAAAAATAATTTTGGAACTTTTAAGGAAAGTAAAACCAAATATAAATTCCTTAATTCAATCAAGCACATACTGACTGTATAAAAGAAGATTACACTTCAGGAAATTTTCTCTCTGTTATCATTTAATTAGACTTTCAAATAAACATGTTTGAAACTCTGCAGAGTATTTCACTATGGACTAACAGTGTGGTGTTCTTGAAATAAAAAGCAGTATTCAGAGGAATAGAGACATACCATTTACCATACCTGTGTGTGTAAATGAAGCTGAGAACAGTAGACCTTTTCAAACCTATATACATACGTAACTTTTACTGACTTTATCTTTCTGCAGACTGGGTGGCCACTTTTTTTTTTTTTTTTTGAGATGGAGTCGTCACTGTGTCACCCAGGCTGGAGTGCAGTAGCACGATCTCTGCTCACTGCAACCCCTGCCTCCTGGGTTCAAGCAATTCTCATGCCTCAGCCTCCTGAGTAGCTGGGATTACAGGTGTGCACCACCAGGCCCAGCTAATTTTTTAGTAGAGACAGGGTTTCACCATGTTGGCCAGGCTGATCTCAAACTCCTGGCCTCAAGTGATCCGCCCTCCTCGGTCTCTCAAAGTGCCAGGATTTCAGGCATGAGCCACCGCACTCGGCCCTACTTTCAATATTGTCAGACGGCATTACTGTCTCAAATGTTCTCATTTAATAACTGTAAGCTTAATTTACAAGAAAGACAGTCTCTTTGACAAGATACATCCATTGCATGATATACAGAAATCATAATGAAAAACTAATAGAGTATGTGTGAGTTTGTATATGTATATTCTTGGGAACACACAGCAGCAAATCCAACTGGATTAACACATGTTAAAGCAAAGCAATGCACTCAACTACAAGCCTCAAAACACTGCTGTAGAGGAACAAAATCCAAAATTAAATATTTCAGAGGTTGTCAAGTGAGACTTCTAAAAATGTGTGCATCTAGTTTTAATCAGAAAGAAAACACTGATTTGGATTCCCATGGCTGCATCCCAGCAGTCAGTTTTTAGAGATCTGTACGTGCTACATCAACAGCCAAACACACAGGCTCATTTAACACTAAAATAAGGCACATCATCTAAATTGCCTATTTCCTTTTTATATCTCAACAGCTGTTAGTTGCTCCATGTCATGAACTAACAGCATATCCCCAAGTGTAGCCAGCCCTGATGAAGTCTTTATGTTACTAGGTAGGCATGCTTGCCCCAGAGCTGCTATTAATGGGTCAGTTAAGTCTGTTATGGGAAGGAGCACCAAAAAAGTATATATGGTGTGAAGTGCAAAGTGAACAAACAAAAGACAAAATGAGTATTTCTGGTACTTGACTATCCTTCTGACAATATTCCCCTCTTGAAAAGTAAAAGAAGAGGTAAAATACTTCTGTTTATCTATGAGTCCCATAGGATGTAACTGAGCAAAAGGAAAACAGGACAGATAACCTAATGGGGGATTAAATTGGGAGATAAAACAGGAATCCTTTATATACTTCAAAAATTCAATCAAGTAACTAAAATCCAGATAGTTTTTTGTTTTTTTTTTTTTTTGAGACAGAGTCTCCCTCAGTCGCCCAGGCTGGAGTGCAGTGGCGCGATCTCGGCTCACTGCAAGCTCCGCCTCCCGGGTTCACGCCATTCTCCTGCCTCAGCCTCCCGAGTAGCTGGGACTACAGGCGCCCGCCGCCACGCCTGGCTAATTTTTCGCATTTTTTTTTTTTAGTAGAGACGGGGTTTCACTGTGTTAGTCTCGATCTCCTGACCTCGTGATCCGCCTACCTCGGCCCCCCAAAGTGCTGGGATTACAGGCGTGAGCCGCCGTGCCCGGCCCCAGATAGCTTTTAAGTCTGTAGATACAAAGAAGGAAGATGAGAAAGTAGTTGAATCTGCTGACAGTGAATTCTGATTCTGTGCCAGGTTACTCTAGCTCCCAGATTTAGGCCTCCCAGCAACAATCTCTGAAACACTGAGTATGCTTAAATAACTACAAATCAGTGATAAGGAACAAAAGTTTCTCACTCATCTTTGAAAAACAAAAATCCAAAATTATGAAATGTTGAAGAAAATAATGGGAAAAGATAAAACGGGGCAGGTCTTGATATATTTTTTAGAATTTTTAATGACAAATATTTAAGATAGAACACAATTTTCCAAAGGCCAAAAATGTAATGGAACCAAAAATCTCATAACCTTCTTTTCCTGTTTTATAATAGCTAACAGCCTACACCAATTTACTGCTTCCATGAATCAGCTAACAGTAGAGTTTGTAGCTAAGGTTTCAGATTCAGACAACCTGTCAGACATGTTAACCCTGCTCATTAAATACCTGGAGGGGAAAAAAAGTAGAAGTAATTTATACTTTCTAAGTCATGTATAATTTGGCAATGATAACTCGATTATTCTGTTATCTTCTACCACCTATTACCTAATAAAAGGGGAGAGGGGTTCAAGAGTATAATTCTACATGTTATAATGAGAAACAATAAGTTCTCATGAAATAAAACATGAACCATCTACTCAGAACATAGGCTGAAATCAGAGAGTATGCAGTAAGCACTCTTAAGAAGCCAATACATATAATAACGTTTCTCATGATATTGACAGGCAAAATGATGAGTGAAATCTTTACCTGAGAATACATTTTTTTTTTTTTTTTTTTTTTTTTTGAGACGGAGTCTCGGCTCTGTCGCCCAGGCGGTGGAGGTGCTGTGGCCAGATCTCAGCTCACTGCAAGCTCCCGCCTCCTGGGTTTTCGCACTCTCCTGCCTCCAGCTCCGAGTAGCTGGGACTACAGGGCGCCGCCACCACGGCCGGCTAGTTTGTTTTTTTTTTTGTTGTACTCTTTTAGCAGAGACGGGGGTTCACCGTGTTAGCCAGGATGGTCTCGATCTCCTGACCTCGTGATCCGCCCGTCTTGGCCTCCCAAAGTGCTGGGATTACAGGCTTGAGCCACTGCGCTCGGCCGAGAATACATTTATTCTATTTTACTCAACAAGCCTGGTTAGTTTCAGAGCCATAGTAGATTAAAAATACTTTAATTGGGAAATGAAGCTATTATAAGCAGGCTGACTGGCAGTTTAGGAAAAAAAAAAGCTATTGGGAAAAAGAGAAAAGCAAGACAAGAACTCGAAATATCTGATGTTAGGCATTTCACTATTGGTAACAGATCACACAGCCTTACTATGCATCTTAAAAGAATATGACACCATGTAACATTGATTTTTTAAATAAACCTTAATCATCAAGGTTATATTAAATGAAAGCCAGAGAATCATGTATTCTGTTTTAGAAATATTTCTACCTCAAATTATTAAATTATCAGTTTCAGCACTGAAACTTACAAACCCAAAGGGTTTAACAGCACATTTTAAAATATCACCACCTAGTCTTTTAGCTAAACTACTAAAATAATCTTGTAAGCAAATTTTATTGAGAATACCATACTGAAATATATTTATGAACAATTCCAAATTTTAAGAAAAATCTTTTCAGAAAACTTTTATTAATATTACTTTAATCCATTTAAAGATCTAAATGCCCTATTGTGTTCATCTACCTTTACACCCATCAGCACAATACTCTTTCCATTACAAACTGGTTTTTAAGCAAAGGAAACAAGCTACAATAAACTGACGCTCAATCTGAAACCCAAAAACTTCTCATTATCTGCTCAGGATATACTCTGTACAAAAACATTCTTGTTTTCTTATTAAAAGCATGTGACCACCTTGGACATTTAATAGTAATTTTTTTTTCTTTTGAGACAAGGTCTTGCTCTGTCACCCAGACTGGAGTGCAGTGGCACGGTCATGGATCACTGCAGCCACGACCTCCTGGACTCCAGCAATCCTCCCATCTCAGCCTCCCAGGTAGCTAGGACTACCGGAGTGTACCACCACACTCGGCATATTTTTTTAAGAGACAGGATCTCATTATGTTAACTAGGCTGGTTTCCAACTCCTGGGCTCAAGCAATCCTCCCACCTTGACCTCCCCAAAAGTGATGAGATTACAGGCATGAGTCACCTGCCTGGCCTAATGTAAAGGGGGTTATAACCTGTTGGAAAATAAACTAGGGTTAGATCACACTAACTTCAAAATACAATCATGATCATACATGGTAGTTCCTCAAAAAATTAAAAATAAAATTACCATATTATCCAGCAATTCTACATCAGGGTATATGCCCAAAAGAACTAAAAGCAAGGACTTGAACAGATATGTTCAATCACGAACCCATGTTCACAGCAGCGTTATTCACAATAGTCAAAACGTACAAACAACCCAAATTTCTATTGATATAGGCACAGATAAACAAAACGTGGCATATATCCATAGGGTAGAATATTATTTACCCTTACTCAAAAGGAATGAAATTCTGATACACATTTACAACATGGATGAACCTTGAAGACATTATGCTAAGTGAAATAAGCCATTCGCAAAAAGACAAATACTGTATGATTCCACTTACATAAGGTACCCAGAGTAGTCAAATTCAAATTACTGGTGGTTTTCAGGGGCTGGAGGAAGAGGGAATGGGAATTGTTGTTTAATGGGTAAGGAGTTCAGTTTTGCAAGATGAAGAGTTTCCAGAGATTGGCTGCACAGCAGTAAAGTTAACATTACAGAACTATATGCTTAAAAATGGCTAAGATGGCAAATTTTATATTTATTCTACCACAATAAAAAAAAATGCCATCTATCATAATCAAGTTATGGGAATACATACTCAGGGGTTAATGACTGAGTTACATCATCTGTATTATTAGTATCCAGACTGTGGGACTCTATCTACTCAGCATTTCCCAAACCGTGTTGTAATTCTACCTCTGCTAGGAACTATTAATTGAAATACTTAGTTATCATTCAGGAATTAGTAATGAATATCAAGGAAGAAAGTTTTACCACTTAACAAAACTCTTACTAAGTTGGTAATTATTACTTTAGTTCAAGAGCATTCACACTTTAAGAAATTTAT